GCGAAGCCCGTTTGGCAGCATTTTGTGAAAATCTTTGAAAACCTATGGTTTTCTTAAGATTTCGCAAGACCTCACGCGGAAGTTTTTTTAGCAAATCAGTGTTGCGAAACCATGTGTTTTTGTATGTTTGTCGGAAACTCGATTGCGAAAGCCTTTCGGCACCGAAGGTTTTTGAAGGATTTCGGCATGCGCGCGCGACGACGCGCGCGTGTGCACTTCGCCCCTTTTTTTGCAAGGGATTCGTGAAAAAATGTTATGTTTGAACAACAAATGTCACCGCATAGTGTTTTTTTTTACAAGGGAACCGCAGGGGGGGGATACCGGCTTGGCTGGGATAGTATGAATTCATATTTAGGATGGACATGTGGTCAGAATCATATGTAATTTGCAGCACGCGCGGGGTAACCGATAAGTCCGGGGGGGGGGTAGAATCTATTAGTCTTTCAGAAAGCAGAATAAATGCTCTGCAGGCTATGCGGCGCAGGCTGTGTGGTGCAAATCACCAAATGCTCCGTTTGAAGTTGACCACTGCAGCGCTCGCGCAAACGCTCGACCCGCCCGCCCATCCGCAACTTGGTTTGCTAAACCCCATGCGGCGGCGATTGCGATGAGTGCTTGGCGCAGCCTGGTGCATCTCCGCGGGCGCGACAGCCCGTGCGTGCGCGCGCGCAGCGGCCAGCTAGTTTGGCGCGACCGTCGCAGCCGTGGTGGCGCGGACCGCTGGGCATATCCCAGCGGGCACTTCAGTGCGAGTCGGCGACTTGGGCGGGCGCGGTACCGCGGCAACGTCGACAACTGTAGACGCGGCGATTGCAGCGGCGATGCTGGCGGCGATGCTGACAGCGACGGCGGCGAGGCCAACGACGGCGCGGGTGCTTATCGTGCCGACGACGATGACGGCGCCCTCGCGCCGGCGATGAAGGTCTTGGAAAGAGGTCGACATGCGCGCGCGCGGCCGGCGCTCGAGCGTGGCCCGCGAGGTATGACACGTCGCTGGCCGTGCACCCCAGCACGCGCGCAAGGGCGCGCGAATGGTTTCGCGGTGCGGCGCCAATGGCACGTTTGGCAGAATTCCATGCGCATGTTGAAAGTTTCCTCATGAAGTCGCCAGAGCGCGAGCGCACGCATTGTTGAAAACTGATGTTGCGAAACCGCTTGTTTTGAATCTTTCTTTGGGGCATGTGATTTTGAAATCGCTACGAAACCGATAGTGTCAAGGGAATGTCCCAATGCGCGCGCGACGACGCGCGCGCGCATTGCTTCCCATTTGTTGTAAGGAACTCTCGCGAGGATTCGCGCGCAAGGGCGCTCGAACGATTTCAGCATGCGCGCGCGGATCCTGTTGGGTAGCTAACATTTTTGATAATGGTGAAGAATTGTTGTGTTCTATAGAATGTGCAAAAAGAGCTCGCGCAAACTTTGTTTGAAAATACGCGTCGTGAAATTTTATGTCATTTAGACATTTGGTTTTGGGACCGCTACGCAACCCAAGGTTTTTGACGGATTTCCGCATGTGCGCGCGACGACGCGCCCGTGCCCACTTCGTCTCATGTGTTGCAAGGGGCTCCGGGAAGCGTATGATTGCTTTTGCAGAGGTTGGCAGGGGGGGTGATGCTGGCTTGTCTGGGGATGGTACGAGCTCATCTTCAGGATGGACGATGGGGCACAATCGAGTGCAAGTTGCAACGCGAGAAGAGTTGACCCCGGGGGTAGAGTTCATGTTTAAACAAAGGAGAGTTAACCAAGTCTACACAGAGTTGTTAACCCAACCGTTCGCGCACACACACCACCCGCCCACCAGCATCCTGTCCTGCAAAAACGCAGCTGCCGTGGTTGTTGCGAATACTTGGTTGGCATCGGCTGGCGCATCTCTGCAGCCGCGCTGGCGCCCGAACCTTCGCGCGAGGAACAGGCCTGGCACTTTCGATGCGGTTTCGATGGCGCTTGCCGATGGGGACTTCTCAGCACCTCTCAGAATCCGCGCTGGCGCGCGGGCATTCCAGCTCGGGTCGGTGTTTCGGGCACGGTTTCATAATGACGCTGACACAAGCGCGGCAACCAGGATGACAATAACGACGGTGTCGGCGATGAGGGCGGTGACGACGGCAAGGCCAATGACGGTGCCGATGTTGGTGACGACGGTGGCGATGAGTTGTTCCATGTTTCGGGGGTGAAGGCGACTCACTGATGATGCCGGTAATGGCGGCGATGGACAACGACGGTGACAGCAGCGAGGCGGTGGCGTTGATGGGGTGATGGCGAAGAATTGCGCGCGCGGGATTTGAAAGAACTTGGCAGGCCTCCTCTCGAAAACGCCTCGTTGTCGTCTTAAGAGGTCCATGTTGAAATGCTTCGGAGACCAAGGGATCTGGAAAACAAAACCACATGCTACCACGCGCGCGCGTGGCGGCGCGCGCCTGGCCCGTAGAGTACCAGACGATACGGATTCGTGCACTGGGCGTGTGGTAGATCAGTTCGCATGCGCCGCACAGTGAGATGAGAACGCACCTTCTGGACGATATGGGTAGCATCATGCAGGTTGTCCCCTGATCTTGGCATCGCTCGGACGTGTGCATTTATTCCTTCGGCGAGGACCATCGAGGAAAATATTTGATCATTTGGCGAAAAAACACGCACGATGTTTTATTTAAAAAGGGAATGGACGTCCGAGCGATGGCCAGTGATGTCGGCAAACGTGCGTGGGTAAGCCAATGTTGCTTGCTGGTTGTATGTTTGGAGCGGTTGCTGGACGTGTGTGTGTGTGTGTTGGCCTGATTTCGACATGTTTACCCGCGCGTGGACATGATGATTTGTTGTGCAAGGGGTGATGGGACAAATAGGTTGAGATTTATCAGCGCGCGGCTACGATGGTATGAGTTCATTTGGGACACGAACGATGATCCAAGAAAAGGCTGCTTCATCCGGCTTCGGGAGGGGGCGGGGTGGAGATTCTGCTTGTCGCAGCGTGTGCTTCTGGGGCGCCCACGAGGCGCCCACGGGCGGGCACCGGGTGAAACATTGGCCTCCTCCTCCTCCTCCTCCTCCTCCTCTCCTCCTCCTCCTCCGCATGCCTCCACCGCGCGGGACGCCCACGAAGCGGTCACGGGCGGGCACCAGGCGAAACACATTGGCGTGCCCACCCGGCGCGGGGCGTGCACGGGGCGCCCTCGGGCGGGCACCCGGCTGCCTTCCGTGAGGGCCCCCCGAGCGCGGGGCGCCCCGGGGGCCGGAGGGCCCAAGGGGCGGGGCCCGCGCCTCCCCTGACCTTCCAGAGAGCTATGTTTTTTAACACGGGAGGCCTAAAAACCTAAAATACAAAACGAAACAGCCTAAAACCAAGACGCAGAATAGCTCTGGGATAGGTGTTTGAGTCGCGTGCTATTTTCTAGCCCTCCTGGAAGGTCAGGGTCTGGGGGCCCCAGAAGCTCCCCGGAGGGCGATCCGACGGGCGCCGCGTCGCCACAGGACAATCGCGAGCCACCCTCAAGACGGCCTTCGAGGGCGTCCTCTCGAGGCGTCTCGAACGGCCCCACACGCGTCCGAGACGCTTGAAGACACACACGCGTCTGAGACGCCCGAAGGACCCCTCAGGAGGTCCCCCAAGAGGGGTCCGACAAGCACGAATCGTCCCGTTCCCTCCGTAAAGCGTACAGTTCTAGCATCGTCGTTTTGGGGGGTCTTCGTACCTTCCCTGACGACCTCAGAGGTTCCCGAGGTCGCCCCAAGACGGCCCGTAGCCATTCTATACCTCAAGCCGTATTTTGGCCCAAGTAGGCACCCTGCGCTACACACCAGACCCGAAAGGATGGCGAGCCTCGCGGGCGTCAGTCTCCTGGCCGTCGGCGGAGAGTTCCCACGACCAAGGCCGGCGGCAGCTTGGGCAGGGCTATCCAGCGTGGTTCCTGCGCCGAGGCAACCCTCGGCTCCCAGGATGACCCGCGGGCGCCCCAGCGCGGGCAGGTGGCTCCATTTCTCCGTGCCGCGCCAGCCGCCTGGCGAAGCCCCCGTTGGCAGGATCCGTAGGCCCCTTGGTCTGTGTCGTCCCGAGCCTCCAGCTTCATTGACGTTCAGCCGCCTTCCCGAGACAGAGTACGGTGCGAACAAGTTCATGCCACCTGATTTGCTGCCCAGCATGGAGCTGGCCGGCAGTTTGGCAATGAGCGACCGCACGAGAGACAGCGAGTTAACCTCCGATCTTTACCAGGATTCCCCGAAGGCCTCCAGTGTGAGCATTGGCGTGGACGAGCGGCCCCCCACGTTGCCAGGATTCGCCCGTCCCCCCGGCCAGCTCGTCCGGCCAGAGGGCACGCCGCCCGACCTCGACGACCGCACGAGGTCCTCAGGGGCGGCCTAACCGACCCTTCGCAAACCATCCCCTTCCGTGACGTCCTCCTCGCCTCGCCCCGAGGCGTGTGTATGCGTCTGGAGGGGAGCTCGAAAGGCGAGCATGACGTCACGGAAGGGAGGGCTGGACCTAAACGCTGTTTTGTTGGACTTCGGCTGTGGTTTGTTCCTCGCTCTTGGCGGGAAGGTGCAGGAGAGCAGGTCGGGCAAAGCGAACAACGAAACGGAAACGAAACGACAAACAACGTTTAGCTCCAGCCCTGACGGAAGGGTGTGGTTTGCCAGGGGGTCGATCAGGCCGCGCCCCAGGTCCCCGTGCCGCGCGGGCCCGAGCCAGCTCGGCAGCGAGCAGGCGGGGCGGCCTCCGCGCCCGCACGCCCCTGCCGCGCGGGCCCAGACCTACCCCGGCAACGCCAGGAGGTCGCTGTCGGCGAGGGGCAGCAGGCGCCCGTGCGATGTGTGTTAGCGATGCAATCCTCCCGTGCGTCGATCCGGCTGCGCGATGCCTCCGCGGTTCAGTTCAGCGAGGCTTGCGTCCGATGGCTGGAGAAAGTCATGAATCTTGACGCGGTTCTGTTCCTGGCCGCCACTGCGGCCTTCGCTCCTCGGCGCGCAACTGTCTAAAGGCCAGCCAGGAGCCTCGCCACCAGGGAGGC